TATGGAGAGATTCTCCAGGTGAAAAAATTAAAAATTATAAATTGACAACAGTCACATATGGCACAGCGTCTGCACCATATTTAGCTACTAGAGTTCTGGTAGATATTGCTGATAAATGCAAAAACAAAGATGTAAGTGAAATAATTAGGAATGATTTTTATATGGATGACCTAATGACTGGGGCTGACTCTATAGAAAAGGCCAACAATTTAATTAAATTGATTTCTCAAGAATTACAAAATGTGGGAATGAATTTAAGAAAATGGATATCGAACAGTTCAAAAATAATGGAAACTTGTGGAAAATGAAAGCGTAAAAACCCTGGGGCTTCAATGGGAACCGCAGAAAGATTTATTTAAATTCAAAGTAAATTGCGGGGACTAGAAAAACATCAACAAAAGGATAGTGCTATCAACATTATCAAAAATATATGACCCTTTGTGATGGCTGCCTCTTGTAACTATTTTAGGAAAACTTTTTATTCAAAAACTATGCATAAATAAGAGTGAATGGGATCAAGAATTATCCAAGGAAGATAAAGATTATTGGGTAAATTTTAAGGAAAATTTATTGCTTTTAGAAGAGATTCGAATCCCAAGATGGATTAGTTCAAAAAATAGTTCAATAATACAGCTTCATGGATTTGCTGACGCTTCCGAAAAGGCATATGCAGCAGTGGTATATGCTAAAGTAGGGAATTGTGTAAACATAGTAGCCAGCAAAAGTAGAATTAATCCAATTCAAAATAGAAAAACTATTCCCAAGCTAGAGTTATGTGCAGCTTACTTGCTTAGTGAATTGATCAAACGAATAATTGAATCCATTGATACCAAAGTAGAAATCTATGCTTGGAGTGATTCCACTATAGCTTTAGCATGGATTAAAAATGGTGATAGTAAGGTCAAGTTCATTAGACGAAGAACGGATGACATTCGAAAACTAGCTAATACCGAATGGAACCATGTGAAGAAGAAAACCCTGCAGATTTATCATCAAGAGGAATTATTTCTAGCTAACTGACCACCTGTGATTTATGGTGGAAAGGTCCGAAATGGCTATCTGAGCCAAAGGAGCATTGGCCTCGACAGCAATCCAAAGAAGATGTGGTTTTGGTAAATTCTATTCTAAATAACAAAACCGATGACCCCATTTACAAATTATTGGAGAAGTTTTCCAGCATTGAAAAAATTATACGAATAATAGCATATTTAAATAGATTCATTTGATCAAAAATTAAGAAAGAATTTTTTCCTTCTTTTCTATCGGTAAAGGAGCTGAATAGAGCTGAAAAGATCGTTATTAAAAAACAGCAAGAATATCAATTCAGTCTAGAGATAAAATGCCTGGAAACAAAAAAAGAAATTAAGACAAGTAATAGGATATTTATGTGATTTATGGTGGAAAGGTCCGAAATGGCTATCTGAGCCAAAGGAGCATTGGCCTCGACAGCAATCCAAAGAAGATGTGGTTTTGGTAAATTCTATTCTAAATAACAAAACCGATGACCCCATTTACAAATTATTGGAGAAGTTTTCCAGCATTGAAAAAATTATACGAATAATAGCATATTTAAATAGATTCATTTGATCAAAAATTAAGAAAGAATTTTTTCCTTCTTTTCTATCGGTAAAGGAGCTGAATAGAGCTGAAAAGATCGTTATTAAAAAACAGCAAGAATATCAATTCAGTCTAGAGATAAAATGCCTGGAAACAAAAAAAGAAATTAAGACAAGTAATAGGATATTGTCGTTGAATCCATTTTTAGATAAGGATGGTATACTTCGAGTAGGAGGGAGACTACAGAACTCCAATGCAGAATTTGAAGTAAAGCCTCCAATAATTTTACACAAGTGCCATTTAACAAATTTATTCATCCAAAAGGCTCATAAAGAAACTTTGCATGGAGGGATAAACTTAATGCGAAATTATATCCAAAGGAAATATTGGATTTTCGGGCTTAAAGAAGTATTTGAGAGAATGTGTCAAGTGTTCTAGGTACAGACAAAATACTGCACAACAAATAATGGGCAATCTGCCTAAATACACAGTTACAATGTCGTACCCATTCTTAAATACTGTGATAGATTACTCAGGTCCTTATTTTGTTAAATGTTCCAAGAATCGTGGGCTAAAAACATATAAGGGATACATTGCCGTATTTGTGTGTATGGCTACCTAGGCCATTCACCTAGAAATGGTAAGTGTTCAGTTGAGGGGCCAATGTGCCGCCGAAGAAGAGCGGGTGAAGAGCGCATCCGCGCTGAAGAGCGCATCCACGCTAAAGAGCGCATCCGCGCTGAAGAGCGCATCCGCCCTCGCCCCTCTCTGCACAATCTTGCACTCTCGCTCTCTCGGGTCCAACTGCAGCGGTCGGCCGTCGACGATCGTCTTTTTCCTATGCTAAGTTAAGTTATGTTAGTTTTTTTGTATGAAGTGAATAAAGCAGACGGGCGATTCGACGACTCCCCCGACTTCCACCACCATCAAGAGGCATCTTTTTCCGGCAACACCGCCCCACTACAACATTTTGGTCCTTCGAGCCGGATTTTCTGGATATTCTGGATACTTTGGATTCTGGATACCTTTTCTACCAGCAGTTCCCGGTAGTGTTCCGCCAAAAGATAATTACGGCTTTTTCTTCCGTCTCCGTCTCTCTGCCGGTCTTCAGCAGTGGTACGAACATTAAATTTTTTTTACACTGCTGCAAGATTTTGTTTTCCTTCCGTGTCAACTCCAAGTCCGAGTTTTCCGACACAACGGCAGTGTCAGATTTTCTACTCTTCTTCGTCTTCATATTCTGCCAATTTTTCCATCCGACTCCGTTTTGTGTGCCGCCATATTCCTCGCCGTTTTGGGCCTCCCCGTTATTTGCTATTCCGCTATTCGCTTGCCAACGGTCGAGGTGACAAAAATAAGGCATAATTAATATTGGCCAGCCGTTGTGATTTATTTCCAAAAATTCCTAAGTTCATTTAACAGTCCACCGGTGGCGTAATATTATTTTTCCCAATCAGTGTCTTTTTTTTTACACCACACAGCTTTCTGTTCATCCATTTATACAGTCCACAGTCCACTGTGCCAACCTAGGCCTTACGTGCATACATATACTTGCATATATACATACATACTTTGTGAAATTGTGTGGTGACAAAAATAAAGCATAATTAATATTGGCCAGCCGGTGTGATTTATTTCCAAAAATTCCTAAATTCATTTAACAGTCCGCCGCTGGCGTAATATTTTTTTTCCAATCAGTGTTTTTTTTTTACACCACACAGCTTTCAGTTCATATTTATACTTGCATACATGCCATATATTTTCTGCGTCCAATTTCAGGGAATAAATAAGTGACAAAATTTAACTGAAATAAAATCTGTTTAAAAACAAAAAAAAAACCGCCATTTCACTACAAATCCGTGATTGTGTCGCCTAAGTTCGCAACCTCGCCGGCTCAGTAGCCGTGTTGTGTTTTTTTTGGTGCTGGTTTTTTCCTTCGGGGTGAATTCCGAACGGTACTTGTCCATTCTCCGTGCCCTTAGCGCAGCTTCCACTCCGCATCAGGCAACATCCGCCTACAATCTCACCAAACCTCGTCTACTTCTGGGTTGTTTGGTTCCTGAAGTTTTGTTTTCACATTCGATTTGTGCCGCACACGATCTTCCTTTCGACATCGGCGCCGCTAGTGCCCACTAGTTCCTTGTGATCGCAATCCATCCGCGATCTCACCGTTCTCATCACTTTAGTGTGACCAGCCACCGCTTCGAACGAGGCCCCTATTGCGCAAGTCAGTCGCATCAGGCAACATCCGCCTACAATCTCACCAAACCTCGTCTACTTCTGGGTTGTTTGGTTCCTGAAGTTTTGTTTTCACATTCGATTTGTGCCGCACACGATCTTCCTTTCGACATCGGCGCCGCTAGTGCCCACTAGTTCCTTGTGATCGCAATCCATCCGCGATCTCACCGTTCTCATCACTTTAGTGTGACCAGCCACCGCTTCGAACGAGGCCCCTATTGCGCAAGTCAGTCGCCAAGCGCTGACCAGCTAATTGACTTTTGAGAATGCCCACGGGAGACGACAAAAACCCGCGTCCGATCCCAGCCATCAGTTTGGACAGATCTCAATCCGCATCTCCGCGGACGCCCCTTTTGAAGCCTAAGGCCCAGGGCCATTCAAAGGGCAAAGAGTGACGAAAACGTCAATACAATCCCCGATCCTTCACAGAGGCAGACTCGCTCCGTTGTAAAAATGGCTCAAAGTGCGGTCGAAGTGGCGCTGAAAAAGTCCATCGCTACGACAGATCGAATTAGCCAATTTGAGGCCAACATCAATACCCCGGGAGGCCCAGAAACAGGCTCCCAATACATGTGCGAAGTCCATCGAGACCAAATTCCGGCACTTTGGGAGAAAGTGGAGAAGTGCTCTGAGAGCTGCTCCGATTTACTCGCCGTGTCCGACGACAATTCGGCCACCTCAGCAGTGCTGGAATCGAAGTACAGCTACTGTTACTCCGTATATTCGAGGTGTATTGCCCAGCTTCGGGAGAAAATTGCCTCCCAATCCACGCAGGCTTCCGTCAATGTCCACACGCCCGCGTCTACAGGCTGTCGGTTACCTCCAGTGGATACCGAGGTCTTTGCGGACCTCGCCAGCCGAGGCGTTGCTCTCCAAGACCTTGCGGATAACCAGTTGTGGTGGCACGGGCCTGGCTGGCTGCGAGGGCCTCGCAGCGAGTGGCCCACTCAAGGCAACAAGGCCCCGTGACTGAACTCGAGAAGCGAGCAGTCAAGGTCCATGTCGCGAAGGCGCCCGCCGAAGATCTCCTTGAACGTTTCTCCACACTTGACAAGGCACTACGAGTCCTTGCCTATGCTTGTCGCTTCATCCAGCGCGCGCGGAAGATACGCTCTCCGTTCGAAGAGCACCTGACTGCTAATGAGATTACGTCGGCTGAACGTCTTCTAGTTTCCGTCACTCAGCGCGGACACTTCGTCTCTGAAATGGGCTGCTTAAGCGAAAAGCGTCCAGTATCAGCGTCCAGTCCGGTTCAAAATCTGAACCCCTTCATGGATTCGCAGGGCCTTATGAGAGCCTGCGGCCGGGTCACGTCCTCTGAACTTCTCCAATACGACGAACGACATCCGATAATCCTTCCATACGACTGCCATCTGTCTCGACTCCTTGTTCAATTTACGCATCGCATCACGCTGCACGGTGGCAATCAGCTGATGATCCGCCTGATTCGGGCCAAATTCTGTATTCCAAGGGTGAGGAATTTGATCAAGTCCGTCGTCTATGCTTGTAAGGTATGTGACATCCACAAGAAGAAGTTGCAGACGCAACTCATGGGAGAGCTACCAAAGGAACGGACGTCCTTCTCGCGCCCATTCACGTACACAGGTGTGGATTATGCCGGTCCTTTCGAGATAAAGAACTATACGGGGCGAGCCTGCCTCATCACAAAGGGGTATGTGTTGGTGTTTGTGTGCTTCTCCACTAAGGCCATCCATTTAGAGCCTACGTCGGACCTTACGACCGAGAAATTTCTGGCTGCTTTCGCTCGGTTCGTGTCCCGGAGAGGATGCCCCCGTCAAGTGCAGTCGGACAACGGGAAGACCTTTGTGGGGGCAGCTGCCCTGCTATCTTGCGATTTTCTCCAGAGCCTAAAAGGGGCTGTGACAGGTGCCTACAGTCACCAGCAGCTTCTCTGGCATTTCATTCCTCCGGGAGCCCCCCACATGGGGGGCCTGTGGGAGGCAGGCGTCAAGAGCTTCAAGACCTTGTTCTACAAGGCCACCGCCACACGGAAATACACCTTTGAGGAGCTGGCTACTCTCCTGGCGAGGATCGAGGCGTGCCTAAATTCGCGGCCGCTCGCGCCAATGTCCGAAGACCCTGCTGATCTGATGGCTCCTACACCCGGGCACTTTCTGGTGGGAGGTCCTCTTCTCGTCACGGTCGAACCCGAGCTAAAGGGGGATACTACGTCAATTATTAATCGCTGGCAGCACCTGAAGGCTCTTCAACAGCAATTTCGTCTGCGATGCAAGGAAGAGTACCTCAAGGAGCTCCATAAGAGGAACAAGTGGCGTGCCCCTACGAGGAATCTCCGCGTCGGGGATATGGTGGTCATCAAGGAGGACAACCTTCCGTCCAATGAGTGGCGATTAGGCAGGATTGACGCGGTGTATCCAGGGTCCGATGGCCATGTACGCGTGATTGACATCCGCACCGCGCGCGTCAAGCGGCCCGTCGCTAAGGTCGTCCTTCTTCCGATGGACGCGTCCGCCTGCCCACAATAATTATTCGTTTCTTCCTTTCCAATGTCCCTGTCCATTGTGCCGTCTCGTAGCTCTGCCCGTAATTCCAAGTCGAACTTCACACCAATTCTGATAACGCTGTTTTGTTTCTCCATCATAGTTCCGCCAGTCATATTCAGCACGATGTCGCCACGTCCACGCAGCGCCCAGTCACTGGAGAGCAGATGTACTCGAGGTACCCAGTCCTACCGATGCCGAGTCTGCAGAGGGATCCATCCTTTGAAGCAATGTCGGCGCTTTCTACGTCTCAGCGCCGAGAATGGGGACTGCTGTAGAACGTGTGGTCAGGATCACCACTCGCTGCTGCACCTCGTAGAGAATCCGCAAGCTCGGCGCTAGCCGCGTCAAGAGGAGCACCGTTCACGGAGCGTGGGAGACAGTACACGGAGTGTCTCAGCTGGCGCTCAGCCGTCGTCCGTCAACTCCCGGCGCGGTTCGGTTGCTTCTCGGCCGGACTCACAAGCCGGTCCACGGCCATCGACTTCCCGGCGCTCGTCGGCAGCTCCTCAGCATTCTTCCGCCACTGGCCGGTAAGCTCATCGGGTGCCGTCCACCGCTCGTCCGACCGCGTCATTCGCGCCTAGGCAACTTTCCGCCTCTCGCCAAGGGACCCCGCAGGACGCAGCCGCTGTGCCCACCCTATCGTCGCGGCTGCAGAGGAACAGCGTCAACGTTCTGCCGACCGCGCTAGTGCGCATTGACACCGGGACCCGGATCTTCAACACGGGGGCCCTTATCGACCCGTGTACGCCCTCGAGCTGCATCGACGCATCGCTAGCGGCGTGCTTCCGTCTGCCCACTACCAGCGTGGGGGACGAACAAGTTTGTTCGGCCACCGTGGGTTCCAAAACGGATGATAGCGTTCGGCTGGAGGTCGTTTTCAAAATCGAGCCTCACGTGCGCGTTCGTACGCCGTCTCGAGAGCTGAGCGAGGCGGTGCGTGCCCACTTCCGAGGCGTGACATTGGCAGATGAGCGGTTCTATCTGCCAGCGACGATCTCCGTTGTCCTGGGCGCGGATATGTACCCGCGTATCATACAGCCGGGGTTCCTGAAGATCCAGGACGGGCTGCCGGTGGCCCAGAGCACCGTTTTTGGATGGGTCGTGTCCGGGGCCTGTCACCAACCGTAGCGACGAGGGAGCTGTTGCAACCCGAGTGATTGCAAGGGGGGCGGGATGTTCAGGTGAGGGGCCAATGTGCCGCCGAAGAAGAACGCGTGAAGAGCGCATCCGCGTTGAAGAGCGCATCCACGCTAAAGAGCGCATCCGCCCTCGCCCCTCTCTGCACAATCTTGCACTCTCGTTCTCTCGGGTCTAACTGCAGCGGTCGGCCGTCGGCGATCGTCTTTTTCCTATGCTATGTTAAGTTAAGTTAGTTTTTTTGTATGAAGTGAATAAAGCAGACGGGCGATTCGACGACTCCCCCGACTTCCACCACCATCAAGAGGCATCTTTTTCCGGCAACACCGCCCCACTACATCAGTAAGTGATTTAACCTCGGATGCATTTCTAGCAGCCCTAAGAAGATTTATCGCTAGAAGAGGAAAAGTTGCCAATATCTATTCAGAAAACGGAACAAATTTCGTAGGAGCGTCAAGAAAGTTGGATCAAGAGTTCGTTAAAGCAATCAAAGAAAACACATTGATTGCCGCGCAGCTTGAAAAAGATAGAATTGATTGGCATTTTATTCCCCCGGCAGGACCTCACTTCGGAGGTATTTGGGATAATAGGGGAAAATAGTCTTACATACGAAGAGATGTCAACACTTTTATGTCAAATAGAAGCATGCCTGAATTCAAGACCGTTGTATACTTCTGAGAATGAAATGGATCAACATGAAGTATTAACTCCAGGTCATTTCTTGATTGGTAGAGCACCGTAGAGATTGTTGAACCAATTGAAAACAAGAAAATTGGTAATTTAGATAGGTGGAAATTAATCCAAAAAATTAGAAGAGACTTCTGGGTTAAATGGAAAGAGGAGTATTTGCATACTTTACAACAGAGAAACAAATGGAAGAGGGAAAGTCCAAATATAGAGAACGGACAAATTGTTTTGTTGAAGGATGAGAACAGTCATCCAGCCAGGTGGCCAATGGGAAAGGTAGAAAAAGTCCATAAAGGTAAAGACGAAAAGGTTAGAGTGGTAGAAGTGAAATTACAAGATGGATTTATCACTAGACCGATAAGCAAAGTTTGTCCCTTAGACGGAATAAAGTCTGTCGATAAAATGGAATCTGATCCCGAAGAGACAAAACCGAAAAGGCAAACAAGAGGTACATCAAAGATTTCAAAACTTGGTTTTGTAATGGCCATGTTATTATTTATATTCTGCCAATTTTCTAATGCATCAGCTAGGGTTGATCAGCCAAGGTATGCAATAGAGAAGATAAATAAGACTTCGGCAATATATTTAGACCCAATGGGGGATGTTGAAATTGTAGCCTCCTCTTGGAATTTAATAATATTTTATAATATGGACGTTTACTTCGAAATGCTTAAAAAAGGTAAAGAATTAATACCAAAAATGAGGGTAATTTGCGAACGACTTCACAGTTTTGAGGATCAGTGCCTTTTAGTTCTGAGTAACACGGAAAGGCAGATCTCAACTTTTTATGGCTCAGGGAAAATCAAGAAGTAAACGTGCTCCATTTGGTTTTATGGGATCGCTTTATCACATTCTATTTGGAATAATGGATGAAGACGACAGGATACAAATGGAGGATAATATGAAAAACTTATTAAGCAATCAGCATAGCCTTAACGAGTTAAGTAGGAAACAGACTTCCTTAGTCGATTCTACGACTAACATTTTAAAGAAAACGACGGATGAAGTTAACTCAAATTTTAAAGGAATGAACGAAAGAATTAAGAATATGACGGCGGTATTGCAAGAATCATATTATGTGTACAAGAGTCTATCAACTTTTTTATGATTACCAAACAGCTAAGTAACATTATAGATGAATGCGAGAAAATTCAATATAGTATCATAAGCCTCTTAATAGACATAAATCATGGCCGACTTAATACAAACATATTAAGACCTAGTCAGCTAAAAAGTGAAATTTCCCGAATAAAAGACAGTTTGTCTAAAAATTTAGTCTTGCCAGGGAAAAGAACAGGCACAGAATTAAAGGAGATTTATACATTATTGACGGCTAGAGGTTTATTTGTGGATAAAAAATTAATAATTAATGCCAAAATACGAGGTGTGTTCAAAAAGTAAGGTGACTCTTCAAATTTCGCGAATTTCAAATTTTTCGATTATCGATTTTTTTGTTTTGTTATATTGGTACACTCTTCCCTAACATCTGTACCAAGTTTCAATGGAACATCCTCTTTTGTTTGGTTGTGAGAGGCGTAAAGTTACAAGTTGTTTTGCGAGCTCGGCGATTTTTTGCTATCGAAAAATATGGATCAAAGGATTTGGATTTTTTGGCCAAAAACAACACCACAATAATGCCTCAGCCACCATATTCACCGGATTTGGCCCCATGTGACTTTTTCTTGTTCCCAAAACTGAAGATAATCGAAAAATTTGAAAAATTTGAAATTTGAAAAGTCACCTTACTTTTTGAACACACCTCGTATAACTTCTAAAAGGTTTCGATAATCGAAAAATTTGAAATTCGCGAAATTTGAAGAGTCACCTTACTTTTTGAACACACCTCGTACCATTGTTTGGTAGACATGCTTCAGTACTTTATAAAATTATCCCAGTTCCGGTAAAACTGGACGACCGCATGATTACAGTGCACGTATATTCTCAGTACTTAATTTATAATTTTGAGAATGACAGAATCTACTATTAATAAATGTCAGAGGTGGCAGTCGAATAAAAGAGTTTGCGAGGGAAGTTAACCTTGGAGTAGTGCTAACGACAATAGTTGTGAGATTAAACCTCTCAAACCAAATAAGGCATCGAACTGCAGGTATAAATCGATGATAAAATCTGATGATAAAATATTAGTTGCTCAACACAGTATTCAGTTAGAAGATCAGGGAACATTAGCGTTGTCTTACATTGGGGAAGTTAACGAGATACCCAAGATTATTTGGAACCCGCTCGACATGCCATTAATCAACCATACGGACGAAATCAATCGTTTGTCAAAGAAAATTCAATATTTAAAAACTCACAAGCTAGAATTGAGGGAATTAGACTTTCACCATTTAACTGGACATGCATCCCTAATTTTAGCAATTGTAATAATAATTATATTAGTTGTATATTTTATAAGGAAAATAAAAATACGAAGGCAGTTATAAGCCATAGCATTACCCAGCGGTATGCTTAATATATAAATTTGTAGATACAATAAATCAATGATATAAAAATGTTTTATGTTAAAAAAATAAATAAATTCACTATAATGTTAAAACACAATAATTACAAGCCGTGAAGGGGTGTGAAACTATTATGCAAAATAAAATATATCGAATTAATACAGTCCACTAATTTTGTATTGCAATATTTTTGAGAATAAATAAAATAAATTGTAATTAACACAGACACCTAACCTTGCCGGCCCTTGTCAGAATGTTCAGACGAAAACTAATAAAAATAAAATATAATACTTTATGAGCTCTGTGCATGTCATGTGACAGTTGTAAATCGATCCAGAGCCATAAACTATGATCTGTAATTGTAGACCCTACAGGGGAGCGGTGCTAGCACTTGTAATCTGTAAGTGCAGGCCACTTGAGCCAAACCGAAGATAATCGCTTGAGATGCTTCTCACACTGCGCCAAAGGTTCCTGTGCGGGGGTCAAATGATAACTCTCCCGCGCAGGCAGACGCGGCCTCTGCGTAGGCCACAGATAAGACCAGAATAAGAATTTCATGTTAATTTCCTAAGCAGGGACTTAGAAAATAAAATTCAGTTTTAATACAGTTTTAAGTTTTAATACAACGGAAAAGGTTTTTTTATTAATTCATCCCTTTCACTGTGTGGCCGGACAATGGTATCACCATAAAAT